GGGCTTCTGTACTCTCAGAAAAATCCCATTCCAAAAGCACCGCTGAGACAATTTGCGTCTGTACGGCTGCTCATACATTACACCCAGATAGCCTGGGGACCAATGAATAAGGTCATGGCAGAGTTGGAGAAAGTACAATGGAGACAAATTGTTTATGCTTGTTATGGAGTCAGGTTGGAGCATAGCGATGAGTTGAGGGTGCCGTGGAATGGAAAATGAGGTCCCTGAAGGCATCAACTAGGAAATGAATGAATAATGCGCCGAAGAAGGGCTGCTGTCAGTTTGAGGCACACAACTCGAGGGAAGGCTTGGAGGAATCCTCCGACTTGTTGCGAAATGAGTTCGTTTTATGGTAGTTTTGGGGATGAGCTGATTGCTTTTTTGCAGTTTTGCATTATTTGCATTGAGAGAAGAAGTTTAATGGTGCTCTTTAAGCATTGTTAAAGGAACTTGGGGCCTTTCAAAGATTGCCCACTTCTTATTTTTCAGCAAAAAAAAAACCAGACACTTAGCAGAGGGAATAAAATGGGATGGTAAAAAAAAAAAAATCCAAGCACCATAGATAAAGCAGAAACTCTGCTAGGCTGTCTTTATTTGAGAGTTTGTACGTGTGTGTTGGTATCTGTGGAGTGTGTAGACAGGAGAAGGCGTGCGTTTTTCACAGCGTGGCAAAACTAAATTATCCGCAGAGGTGTGTGTTCCTCCCTGGGAAGAAATTGTGTACTACAAGACACAAGGAGAGAAAAGGGCGGCAGAGACAAACCACGAGCAGACAGAGGGAGAGAGAGAAGACGGGGATGAATTATAATTGAAGCAGGAGTCTATTGTTCCAGCATGGGAGACAAGTGCCACACTCTTAGACAGAGGCTAAGTAGGAGCAAGTTGGCCTGCAGTCAGATTTGGGGAGCCGGGATGCTTAATCATCGCGGGCAAGGGTGCTGGAGTTGACAGGTAAAATATGAGCAGGCGCTACAGGTAGGAGCTCCAGACTTCCCACAGCTCGCCGTGACCTTCGCTCCGAACATAAATTATGAAGGGGCCGTAAAAATACTGATTTAAGATAACTTGGCCAGCTCTATCTTGGTCTGGGTTCATCTTTGGAGTCCAGTCTCTTACTACACCGCTGCTCCAGTTGAGCCTTGGACTTGTCTTGGTGTCGTCCTGATTTGTTTCCGGCCTGTCTGAAGCCATCGCTCCGACTGTCTGTAAAGGGGACACGGCACGTCCAATCATGCCAGACCGCATTAACTCCTGCGTATGTGCTCTCTCATCCCACATGAGCAACCATCTCTGATCTCAGGTATATGATGACGCAAGTAGCAACAAGATGGATAGTACGAGTAATTCCACTTATCTACTGCTGCTGCTGTTTGATGTCATTCTCTTGAACCTTTGCTTTGTTGCTTGCTCTGAATGTAGTATAGTATAAGATAATAAGATTGCAAAAAAAATCAGGCACAGTGTGTTGAAGACTTAAGGGGCTCTGAAAAGCCAGATTTGTGCAGATGGTTGGTGTAAATGTAGCAAAAAGTGTGCAAACACCTAGAAGTGTGAATGTAGCTTCAGCGAGCTATCTTCAATATTAATCACTGAAACACCAAATATGGAATTTCATGCCTCCAAGTATCTGAAACAAGCCAATGTATTCCTTTCTTCTTCCTTTGTTTTCCAGCTGCACATGTGCATGTTCATCCGCCTCTACATTATTAAGGCCTTTACACATCAGGGGCGATTTATCTATGAGGGAACGTACAGAAGATGGCGGGAAGATTTCATAAAAATGAGATGGTGACTTTTAGTCGAATGTGTCCATTGGCTGGATTTACATTTGTTTCCGTAGAAACCAAACGTCCTGAGGCAATGTTTTTTTTTTAAAAACTCTGAAGGGGATAACATCAGTGGTGTCTTATTACACCGCCTTGTAATGACATTATCTCGAGCTAACCTTACATCGACCTTTAAACTTCCTGTGTGCGCCTCGCTCTCGACGACTCTCTCAGACAAAGTTAGCTGTAATGACTTATCAGCAATTATTTCATCTCCCAATTTCTATTAGAGAGGAGTTATTTTAATTAAGAGATTCATTAAGTTAGTTCATTAATTCCCCCACAGGTGCCGCCGATTCTCGAGGGAACTTGGAATCAATCCTGCTGCCTATTATTTAATATCAGAGTGCACACATACTGAGTCGAAGGGCAGGTTGCGCTTGGTTTTTGAGACGGTAACTTTTGGGATATATGGCACCAAACTCTTGAAGTTGACAGTTGCTGCATGCATAAATCTAAAAATAAACGCATGAGTTTAACCACGGCCTAATCCCATGAGTACCCTGCAGTAAGAGGCTGCAGTTTTCTCCCACAGCTACACCAATTATAATCCTCCCAGCACACTGTTTAGCTGCTAAATGACCATTGCACATAATGTCCCTGCATTGGCTGCACATTGCAGCTGGAGTCCTCCGTCTGTCCTCCAGCTGTACACAGTAACTGTCAGCCTGACACTTGTCCCAGCTGATGTATGCAGGATGCTATCTATCATTGCCACGACATTGCATATCCCCTTCGGTTTGACACGTTTGACAGACACCCTCGCCCATTAGCGCCATGCTATCACCTAGCTCGTTATGCAGTGTGCAAGAAGTTTCTCCACGAGCTCGGTTGGTGAAATACATTTGAGTCTCCGGAGTGGTGCGGTGGCGGTGGGATCATTTCCCCTCGGATTGTTTCATGAATATTAGTGAAAAAAGCCAAGAGATCAGGAGGCTCAAAAAGGCGCCGTGATGGATGTGAAATGTTGGAAAGACAACGTAGGACAAAGCGTTGGCCCACGCCATCGATCACCCATTGGCGAGCAAATGACACCGACTCCCTCTCTCTCTCCCTCTCCAGCGTGTGTGTGAGTTTATCAGCGCTTCCCAGAATATTTAACAGGCAAGAGGGCGCCCCCGTGGGATCTCATTTGCACAGGTGTCCATCTGGTAGAAGTTGTCTCGGATAATCTCCACATCATGTCCCATTTGCGTCCCGCCTTGGTGAGAAAAAAAAAAACTGCACACACACCCCCCCCTCTCCGCCGTCGGAGGCAGAGAGCTCGGCACTGGCCAGTTCGAAGGGGCCGAGGGGATTGTTTGCAGACATTGTAGCAAAGACCAGCGTGTGTTCGGCTAATCCATGAGGCAGTTAATGCCGCGCAATTATGTAAGGATTTAACATGTTTGTAATTGTTTGTTGGTTCAGCTCAATTTGTGTAACCAGCTTTAGTTGGGAAAATTAGCAATGAGATTTTGCTAAACGCTGCCAATTTGTTTGGTCTCTTAACCAGGAGGGATTTTGCTGCGGCAGTCATGCTGGAGTACTTGTCAATGTGACAGTCTTATTAGCCAGTTTGGGCGAAAAGAAAAGGTGCTCTTATTGAATTCATTGATCATCGCAGACCTTCTTCTGTTCCCCCAGCCTTTCAAATAGCACAACTTTCACAGCCATCAATGTGCTCATTGATTGCCGTGTTCTGTTAAGAATTACTCAAGCAGCAGATCCAATCTCAGAATCGCGGCGCCATTAATGAAAGGAACAGATAGGTGTAAATGTCCGCCGCCGTATCCTTTCCTCCCCTGTGACTGTGGAGCAAACACAGCCCCGTGCAGGAGTAGATCAGATCCGGATCACGGCAAGGTTCTTTATGCACATGACAACCCCGATTGGGTTTGGTATTTACAAGACGAGCGTTCCCAATAGACGTGCGACTGGAAAGCAGTAAAATGAAATGTTTATTCACCAGTATCCGCCAGTCCAGGCGAGCGTGAAGTCTCCAAACGTTACAAGTAATCTCACATTTTACGCACGCTCTCCCGTGTGATATAAATCCTCTTCTTCGCGTGGACGACCTCGGCGGTTACAGCGCATCAATTGCAGCGAGTCGTTTTCTGCTAGCTTGCGCTGCATCTGCTTAACATGTGAGAAACAAAACGGCTCAATCAATCTTCAAGAGCTGTTGACATTCAGAGGTGTCGTTTCATATTACCTCCCGTGTCCCCGCTCCTTTTACACACACTTGTACGCTATTCACACACCCACACACACACACACACATTTTAAAGCTCCTGTGAGGAGTTTTTCACCGATTATGAAACAGGCTGATATTAACACTGATGCCTCTAAATGACTTACTACAGCAAAAAAGGGAACATCAGCAGTTAGATTTATTATTTCAATACTGTTATTATTCATAACTAAAATGGCTGCAGGGGGGGTAGGTGTCAGACGAGATGATTAAAATTCACAGCAAACATTGTCAATAAGTGATACAGATCACTTCAAAGACGGCAGGAAGAGACTAAAACACGATTTACACAAATTACAGACAAGACGAGCAAAGCGACATGTACTACTTTTGTCCACAGGGGGACGCCAAAATCAGCACAAATTGAAAGTTCCTCACGTGGGCTTTACATTTTTCACTAATAGTTTAAAGAGGTAGAAGAATAATGTACTTTTAGTGTTCATACTTCAATGAGTAAGATGTAAAAACAGTACACACCTGTTACTGGGGTTGTAATCAAGACCACAGTAACCGATACCAGAGCGCTCCGAGACTAAGACATTTAGGGAGTCAAGACCAAGACCATAAATATGACTGATAAATCATCATCTCGTGTGTCACTCACAAGACCGATTTCGAGTTCTGTAACCCTACCTGTTACGTCCCCATGAAGCAACATATTTCAGATCATGACTCAGCATTTAATTACCTTTTTTTTTTTTTGATTTATTTGCTTGCCACGACGTTTCTTGCTATCGCCCTCTGCTGAATTCATTGTTTCAGATGAAATCTAATGAGCGATCCTCGTGGAGATTCTGATCGCACAGTCTCTGATTTTTATGTGACGCCGGAGATTGGAGCGCTTGGCAGCTCGTCTCCGCCGCATCTGGCAGGACTTCAAAAAAACGACACAAGCTCATTTAATCTACCCACTGATTCATTAACTTTTGTTATCCTTGCAGGAACTCCACATACTGCATGAAGGTTTCCATGTCCCTGACGGTGGCCGAGAACGACACGGACCTCTGCTACAACTCCAAGATGAGGTTCTACGAGAAGGCCGAGCTGAGCAAAAGCAAAGACATCACCTGCCAGGGCATTGAGGATTATATCCAGCCGGGAGTGGAGCCTGAGATCGTGTGGTACAAGGTCAGATACGCCTCAGAGTACTTCCTGTTTGCAGAAATACCACCTTCACTTTTCATTTCTTAAGATGTGTAAGATGTCGTCTAAAGGCTTTTGTCTGCCACCTGAAACTCATCACACACATCAATCGAAACAGATCATTTGAATGGAAATGAAAAAAGAACTTCACAGTAAGATACTGTATTTATACAAAGAATGACCTCGTTAAGGTTAGCTTTCATGCGATCTAATTGGCTTCCAAATCTGTCCTCTCTCTGACTCCTCAAACTTAAAGACAGACAAAACTCAATCTGTATCCGGCACACAAACACATTTCTTGTTTCCACCCCGGAGGAAGTAGCGATGCCCACTTTTAAACCTTCAGTGTCCGACAGGCCCCCCCCCTCCGACTGAGCCGACAGGTGAAGAAAAAGCGCCCTGGATTAAGTGGCCGCACCGCCTCTTCGGTTTCCCACTGAATCAAATGAAAACAGCAGATAATGACTGTGGGCTCCACACCCTCCAGTTATTGGCTCTCGCTCTGTCGGTTGGGGGCCGATTGAATTCTGCGAGGCCTGTCTTGGACCGCGGCTCGGAAAAGCAAACCCACGGTGCCCCACTTTCCTTTTGCCTCGGGTGTTCTTGTGGCCCAAAATCTGAAAGACCTCGGCTGTTTCTAAGAGCCCATACTTACTTTTTTTAATCACTACCTGCATGTTGAAATATGGTCTTTAATTCAATCCCAGTTAGAAGTCAGGCGGTTGTGGATTGTGTGCTTTCCCTTTGATCCTGAATATTTTGGTGAATGAGGCCCAGTGTTTTCCCACCTTTTTGACTCCGACCCATTGTGTTTACCCCATGCTCAAACATCTTTTTCTGTCTTCTCACAAAAAGGAGTGCAAGCCAAAGCAGTGGAGACAAACCATCGAGAGGAGGAGGGACACCCTGTCCATCAAGGAAGTACGGGAAGATGACATTGGGAATTACACCTGCGAGTTACAGTTTGGGAACTTTGTGGTGCGGAGGACGACTGAGCTGTCCGTCACAGGTAAGAAAACAACTCTGACTGCACGGCTTTGGCTGCTTTCAAACGCGGGCATTCAGTGAAAGAAGCACGAGGAGGATGAACGTCAGCAGCAGATATATATTTACTGCGTTTCAAAGCTCAAGGATTTGCACAGAAGGATATCCTCATTGTTCCTCATGCCTTTGTGTATGTTGTCTGCTGAGTGTTTTCTACAGATTGCACATGTGACTTCAGGTTGTTGTTGTTGTCGGGGGGGGGGAAGAATCCGCTCTTTTAAAGCTGATCCGTGCACCTTTTACCAACGCGTCCAACTCGATAACCCCGGCGTCTCTGCGACTCCTAGGCTGCTTTAATTGCTAAGTAGTGGAATTCACACATAGCCTCTTCAGCACTTTTTTTCTTGGGGCTGTTGAAATATTTAAGCCTGAACCTAAAGTGGGTGACAGATTGCTTGTCACTGACACTGTCACAGCCGGGGGTGACAACAGCATGCACTGTGGAGAGAGAGAGAGAGAGAGAGAGAGAGAGGGAGAAGCCAGACTTTACAGCTTCATTAAACTAAACATGTTCTGATACCTCGACTCCAGGATTGGCTGATACCAAGTTTCCCTCCAACCGGGGATCAAATGTAACTTTTTAGATCGACTGTTCAGCCAAAAATATTTTCCATCCATCTGTGAGACTTTGCTAGACACCATGTTCATAGAAACCAGCCGTACATTTACTTTACCCTTTAAATTTTTTTTTTTTTTGTCATTTTGAGGTTTTTGTACTTTGTTGGTGTTTTTTCAATTTTTGCTAAACAAATGGGGCAGGACAAAGCAGATGGATTTCAGCGATACAGCTATTGACAGTCGCCCGTCAGGGACATGCGGAGATGCTGCAATAGAGATTTCAACCTGAATTTGGCGGGGGCGAGTTTTGGACCCAACCTTTGACACTAGTATGATTTTAAATAAAGCAGAAAAGTGTTTTTTTTATTGGCTGTAATTCTTTTATTTATCTAACACCCCTAGGCTGGATTTCTAACGATACCACAGTTTAATAAAGACATTCATACCCAAAAGAAAAGAAAACAAATATGCATCCATCAATACATTTTTCAAATATGGCAAAATAATAAAAAAACGTTTTCTAAGGCTACCGAGGAAGAAGCTTTCTTTAGTTAGCAGAAGCTCAGCACTCAGCCTCTCTGATTTAAAAGATAAACTGCTTTATTCTGTGTTTTTAATCATTTTTAGTTTGAAGTTTCCTCTGCCAAGCTTTGACCTTGAAGAATAGTCAGAGGAGTCATACACATCACTTACTGTACAACTGTTTGAGTTGAAAATGTTTCTGACAACCACCGCTCCTCCTCTCTGTGACTCATGTGGCTTCGTCCAGGTTTCCTTTAGAGGCTCACAAGTTCAAGGATGCACGAAAGAAATCAAAAGTAAAATGAAGTTTTGGATGAATGGAGGGGATGTTTCGCTTCTGTGCAGCTTCCATGACACGCTGAGGGTTTGAAGGCCAGACGAGTGTTCCCTGTTAACAGCAACATGATCACACAATACAGCCCTTTAAAAGACAGAGAGAGAGAGAGAGAGAGAGAGAGAGAGAGAGAGAGAGAGAGAGACTCCAGTGATAGCCTGAGCGAAAGTCATAAATCATTCTCTCCCCAGCCTCAAAATGCCATCCTGGAGGAAAAGTGTTAATCTCTCTATCTACTTTAGAGACATTCAGTGTTTCCAAACAGGTGGCTAAAGATGATTGATGATTCGGCGATGGCCGTAGAAGCGACGTTTGTGATACTTTGGAAAGAAATATACTCGTCCTCCTCTTTCTTCTTCGGCTTCAGTAACTGTAGCTGTGAGCGTTTCACGTTAATTCTTGGATTTGTGCAGTGCATGTTACCTTTCGAGAATAGATGGATGGATATGTGTTCATTTGATGGTCTGATTTAGTACAAAGAAGAGTCTGACCGATTTAGAAATCGCGTCGATATTTAATTATCAAGTGATAATCTGTATGGGCTACTTTTGACACAGATATGCGCCGATGTTACTCGATTTATTTACCAGTCAAACAGCATTTCATTTGAGTTTCATTGACTTACACAAGCAGTTCTCTTCTTGTCCCTAGCAAAGCGTGCAATATGAATAGCAAGTTACTTTCAAGTTGAGTGACCATCTCGTCTTTGTTATAAATCTTGTACACAAGTGTTTGAGAACTACATTTGAGGAATCAGTGCAATAAAAGTATATCTCTAAAGATATCGGCCGATAGATCGGTATCAGATTTTTTTTCTTCCCAATATCAACATTGGCCCAAAAAATTAGATATCGGTCGGGCCTTAATACAAAGTAGTGTGTGTGGAGAAAACAAAGTGATATATTTGCTTCTCCGGTCCCTCTGATTAACAATTCATGATGAAGGAGTTGGTTACAAAGTGGTGCTGTTTTTAATGGTAGACTTAAAATCAATGTTAGGATGCACAGCGCAAACAAACAGTTTGACCCACATTGACTTCTATTGTAAGTCACAAGCTGCACTTTGCCTCCAGGTAAAAAAGTGTAATGTACATTTTCACTGGAGTGCTTTTTAATCTTTAAAGAGCCCTGCCAGTGTTTACTCTGAGTGTCCTGCTTTCCTCCAGAGTTTTGGGTTCTTTGCTTCAGCAGCCATGATGGCGGTGCTGATGATCCTAGCTCCTCAATTCCTTTGATGTTGTTTCTATTCTGGTCTCCTGTTGTTGCTTCAAGACACATGAACCACACTCCACTTCCTATAAGTCAGGAGGTGTCTCCGTGTCTGCATGGTGTGCAAAAACCGTGTTCACAAACTGGTTTGACTTCCAAGCTGTTGTCAGTCTGCGTGATGTCACAGAGCGATTGTGAGGGAAAGGTCCTGATTTTAATTCTCACTTCTTGTGAGTGAAACTCTCTTTCTTGGGATTTAAATATTCAGGAAATGTTCAAGTAATTGGACCATTCTCCATGTTGAAAGTTCTTGTACTTTCAGACACACATTGACACTTCTATTTTAAGGTGGAACGTTTATGTACTGTGCCTTTAAGAAGCACAACTCTATTCCTGTAGTTTTTTTTTTTAAATCTAATTTCGTTTCCCCGTGGAGATCTGATGTTCAGACCTGACCTTTCCATCTTTCTTTCTTTTTTTTTTAACACCTGAACTAAGTATACATGAGCCTTGATGTAATATCATCATCAACCGCCCACAGATAATTCCAAATTCACCATCAAAACGCTTGTCACTCCCCTCTTTATCAACAGCCCACAGGCCCTCTCACAGCAGTGCGACGGGACAAAAGGTCAGATACCATTTGATTATAATGAGCAGCGCTAAAATCATAATGAGCTCCCTCGCCGAGTGATTGGAAGCGACAGTCGCTTTCAATGAAATTTGGGGTTTTATGACTTCCTCTGTAAGGTGCACCGTTTGATGTCTTCGATTAAACACGGCAGGATAAAGGAGCCGTGATGAAATGGATATATACGGGGGAACAGCAACTTTGGTGTGTAAAATCGACTGTCAGTGTAGCTAATGAGCTGGGACTGACGCCGTTAACCTGCTTTTCTTAGCTTCAAACAGCAGGCGGGCGCTGGGGAAGTGAGGGAAGGATTGAAAACAATCTTGACTATATGTTTCCAAAATGTGTCTGCCTTCCTCCTTTAACTGACGGATGCATTAACCTTATATATTTATCATGTCCCTGGGTACCACGGTACTTTGGCAGCTTTGTTTCTTAATGCAGCTCTTATTGCTGCGCTCTCTTTGAAGGTCTTTTCAGTCTAGCACATTCAAAAGCAATCCCTCTTAAGTGAACAATACGTTCTTGCAGGGTAGCAACGCTCTATTTCAGTGTCTTGCTTACGATTGAGTGTTCCTGCAGAGGAAACTGATTGGTTGGAAATGTAAAGGAACTTTTTTTTTTTCTGCTTCCTCAGCTCTACCACCAGCGTGCTTGAATGATGGGAAACTTTCACCTCGATGCGTTTACTGCCGTGCATTTGTAAGCTGAGGACTATTCTCTGCAAATGTAGACAATGCAGAAAAAAATGAACAAGTTGACAACTTGAATTTCAAGTAGAGCGCAAATGCCCATTCATGAATTCATGCAGACTCTTGAGAAACCACAGAGACGAGGTGTTTGCTAAATGCATCAAAGACACAAATAGGGTCGATAAAACGGCCATTACTTTTGAGATGCCTCGAACGATATCACTGTGTTTCATCATCATGAGGAATTCAAATCAGATCAGACATCTAAAGACACTTGAGTCTTGATAAGATAATGCCCTGGGTTTAGTAGTTTGAAGTTCCTGCTCTGTTACACGTTTGAGGGATCAAAACAATAAACGTGTATATTTATCTCTGCAGATCGAAGATAGATATAAGATAGATATCGGCCGATATATCGGCATCAGTTTCTCTCATCGCGCCATAATTCTGTATTGTCAATTTTGCTCATAAAAGAGGACCTTAAAATTGAAATGTAACTACCACAGATATTTGTCATCAGCTTCTGACGAATCGCCTCTGACAGTGGTTACAACTCGTCAATCCCAATAAAACCACGTCCCTAAAACTGACCCAGCTTTATTGTGTTTTATAATCGAGAGGGGACCTTGAAACCAACTTCCTGGAGAAAACTTTAAACTAGTAATTGAGAGCATAAATTATATGTTTGCTTCGTTAACTATGAATTTACTCAATTGAAAAGTAGGCAAATTTCACCATCTTATTCCAAACAGTAGGGTCACCCCCTACTGGCCATGAGAAAAACTGCATGTTTCAGACACTCGCTCATTGGCTTCACTTTTCAGACCCTGAGGATCTTTGCACTTTTGCCGGCCACTTTTTTAGGGCGACTTTCTACTCGCCTCTTTTAATGAAGTGTGTAAACTCCCCTGTACCAAAGGGTGATAATGCTTACCATGCTGTCTCACCGTGCTGCGCTAGCAAGCTAATAAACTGAAATGATCAAAACAAAGCAGTGCTGAAAAGGCAAAAAAAGTCATC